GGCGGCGCCATGTTGGGGAGGACGCTGCGGGCCGCGGGCGAGGTGTGAGAGCCGGGGGGAGGACGAGCCGGCCTCCGCCCTGCGGCCGCCCCGGCCGGGGGCACGTGCTGGCGCTCACACCCAACCCTCGCTTCTCCTCGCCCCGGGGCTCCCCCGCCCTGCCTCCGCACCCGGGCCGCTCAGGTGCCTCTCGTTTCGGCCCCGACCGGCCTCCCCGCGGCCCAGAGGACTGCTGTGGGGGAAAGGGAAGGAAGCTGGAGGCAGTGTCCTTGGTCCTGGCACAGGGCTCGGAGCAGACCACAGGAGCAGGCGAAGGAAAGGTGTTTCACCAGCCAGCAGCACGGCTCTGCATATTCACTCTAGGGCTCTTCAAAACAATACCGGGATGAGTAGTTAGGTGGAGTACGGCATTACCATAGAAGCAGTCGCTGAGAAATAACAGTACAGAGATTAGGTAAATCAGACAGCCCGGATGGAGCGGAGTGAAGGGGATGGCACAACTGAGAAAAACTAGCACAGTTGTTCTCCAGCAACGTGATGGCTTCCGCGGAGCTGGTGCTCTGAACACCCCGGTACAACATTTGATGAGTATGCTGGGTCCTGGACTGAAAACATAAAAGAAGGTACCAAGGAACTTGTAATCAAAGCAGGCCACACCTTGTCTAATTATAAGCCTTATTTGGCTGGCTCAACTGTTTCTCTCTCAAGCTTTCCCGGTGCTGTGTACCGCAAAGCTACTACACACTAACAGTGAAAATGGCAGTAAACTCCAAAGTAGATGGAGTACCTTTGTTATGTTTCAAAAATAAATAAAGCAGTAAATAAAGCTTTCCAGAACGTATTGAAAAGCATCTAGTACTATGCCACTCTTAATTTTGACATTTTCCTGGGCAAGAAAACCTATAGGTTCTCTGAATTTGAACCAAGTCTGTGATTGATGTTGCCTATAGTCTTCCACTCTTGACTCATAACCTCTCCTTTTCATCCTTCTGTCTCCACACGAGATCTTGTCAAGGTTTTTTAAGAAGGTGACTTTGGAGATGTACTGTGATCTCTTTACTTCTCTTCTTCAACCTCTAGCGTCCTTTGCTCTTTCACCCATGACTAAAACTACTGCTGTCCTCTGAACGCTCTATCTACCACATAAACTTAATTACCTTCAACCTCAACTTGTTTCATGCTCTTCACCACTCCCACCAGCCCTACATCACACTATGCTCTGGTTTCCTTTCTAAAAACAAGCATCCCAAGAGGGGAACTAGGGCTAAGACAAGTTTTCAGTTGTCATCCACTTCTACACTGGCTTAGGAAATCCGGTGCAAAGAGTGTTCTCCAAGAGGCTGCCAAAAAGGGTACAAGAGCCTTATTGAAACACAGAGCTAGACTCAAGAGACCTAAGCTAAGTGAAAGGAATGAGCAGAAATGACCTCCTGCTTCATCTCTTTCAAAGACTAAAAGTACAACAGGTGTATGACAGCATAGATTTCTGTTGGTGAAGGAACAAACAAATATATACCTTATTTTTGCTCTATGGCCATATCCATTATAATAGTACTATTTGTAGTTATCAGATATAACATAATAATTTTTTGAGTCCTTTCTTTGAGCGATACACCCAAATTGCACCTGACTTCCAGACCCCTCACATGTCAGTCGTACTCTGTTGTTGAGATGGACACGGGTTCAAGTACTAATAATATATGGACAGTAAACACCTTTAACTCTTTCACAGTACATGTCTGTTCTCTTTCATAAAGGTGGCCCAGTGCTTCTTCAAAATTAGTTCATGTTGAGGACTTTCTGGGCATTTATAGACATGGTCCAGGAGCATGCATGGGGTGGGGTGGAAGGCTTTAATTAGAGCAGCTCTGAGTTGGTCTGATTAAAATGCCTGGAGCATCATGTGTATCAGCGTCCCTGCACTTAAAAAGTGGCAGCAGGGGCTCTTTAACTAAAGCTCATTGAGCAAACTTTAGTTAAGGTGCCTCTGCTGCTATTTTTCAGTGTGGGGACACTGATGCATGTGACACTGGGGTCTGCTGGAGTGCAGTAATTACAGGATTAATTACTGTGTGTTGAACCAGCCTCACTGCACATCTAAGTGCCCTCTATTTCAAACAACCAAAACATGGGTTAATCGGCAGTGACAGTCTTCAATATGAGGATAACAGCCTTCCAGTAAATAGCAAAGTCATCAATGAGTCTGTGACTGAGGAGGCCAATCCAAGATCTGCATGTTTGACTGCAGACATGGCAAATAGTTCCAGGCAAAGTAGTAGATACTAGAGATGTCAGGTCACAGCTTCTTTTCTCTCTCTTGTCTATCTGCCGCCACAGTGATGTTAATTTGTTCAAAATGATTAATGCCTTGTTGCACATCATGGTGCTATTGGAGATGATTCAGTGCTTGAATCTCCCACATATGGATGTTAATATACTTCCTTAGATTGGCTTTCAAGGTGTCATTGAAGCTTTTCTTTTGCCCACCTCTGGACTGGTGACCATTGGTGCGTTGGGAGTATAGGAACTGTTTTGGGAGCTGGTTGTCAGGCATCCTGATAACATGTCCTGTCCAAAGGACCTATAAACATGGCTTCAATGCTGGTGGTATTTCTTGAGCCAGAATGCTGGTGTTTGTTCTTCTGTCCTTCCAGTTAATAGTGGGTATTTTCCCAAGGCAGAGATTCCCATCCATTGGGCTGCGAAAGGTTGGTTGCTGGGTTGTAGCACAAGCCCCTTGCTCAGACCCCAATCTTTCTGCCTGAGTGAGCAGCTTCCAAGGTGAACAGAGTTAAAGCTGGGGGCTGGGGCAGCCCCGGGAAGGAGGCAGCCGGCTCCATGTGCCCTGTCCTGCTCCTGTGCCAGTCTACAGGAAAAAAAGGTTGGGAACCACTGTCCTAAGGCATTGCTGATGGCAATATTCCAAAGCTTTCAGGTGGTTCTGATATGTCATCCAAGGTTCACACCCATACAACATGGTAAGGATGACAACACCTTCGTAGATGAGAAGTTTAGTTTGGGTCCTGAATACATGGTTCTGGAGACATCCAAAAGGTAGCACTGGCAGATTTTATCTGGTGCTGAATATTGTCATCTATATTTACTTTTTTGGAAAAGGTGGTGTAGTTTACCGTGGCATTCACTCGAGCATTTTGACTTTTCGGGGCAATTGAGTGCTGCTGTCCCCTTGTGGGTCAGCAGCTTGCCTTCCGATGGGAGTCCTTAAGGTCCCCAGGGGTTCTCGCCTGCCACAACTTGATTGTAAAGATTATTGCTGGGAGGAAGTTCTGAAGTCCTGCCTCTCCTGGTTCCCTCAGATCTCTCGCACAGGTCTTTGTCTTGGGCCTCCGCCTCCCCTACACCCTTCCTTATGCCAACCACAGATGATGTTAGATCTTGGCTGAGGCTAACTCACTGTCAGTCAGCCATGGCTAGGCATTAGCCCCTGTTTAATTTCAGTCCCAGTTCAGATGGCTTACTGTCCTTGTCAAGGTGTCACGTCAGCCTGACTTGTCGCTGCGTATACCCCGGGGTGCCTTCCCTGAGGGCTCACTCCCTCCCCAGGCATTCCTCATGGCTTTTAATATCCTTCTTTTCCTCTCTCCAGAGGCTTGCTGCTGTCCCAGTCTCTATCAGCATCGTCTGGGAACTATGGCTTCATGAGAGGTATGTATCCTGGCTCCTCTGAGCCAGCCTTAGCTGGGCACCCCAACTCTTGGGGTTGCCATCACTGGCCCCTACCGGGGCGTCCATTCACTTCTTGCTGCTCCTGGCTCTCAGGAGGCCTCACTTCTGGTCCTCCCTGGACATTGGCTGGTATGGATTTTATCCCTCTCTCGGAAGGCCAGTGAATCATTGGCAGCACGAGTCCATAAAGCATGCCCATGCTGGAATGGGGGGGTGGGGGGGGAGGTGCTTTTGGTCCTCAGTGGCATTCTGCTGCTGCTGCTTTTCCTGTTGCCCCTGTGCCACCTATGATTTTCCTCTTGTGGAAATGTTCACGCTGCAGCACCTTTGGTCTTCAGCGGCATTTGGCGGCCATTGCTTTTCCCTCTGCTCTGGCGCTGGAGGTGAGTCTCATCTCGTGGCAGCATCCCTGCTGCAGGTAGGTACGCCACATAGGGGAAATGCTCGAGATTCTCCCAAAACTACCCCCTAATTGTAATATGTGGAGGAGCACCTGGGTTGGCTTGGGGTGGGTTAGTAAAGGACCTTGATTTTTGTGAAGTTGACAACGTGTGACTAGCATTTCATGTGCTTCACAGAAATAATCAAGGGTGACCCAGAGCTCTTCAGTTGAAGCAGTCAGCAGCATATTGAACAGGGTCTACAAACAGGCTGTCAGGAAGCCAGGAGATCAGACAGAGAACAAGAGAGGTGTTGGTTATCTTGGATTTGGAATGTAACTAGTTGATGTTAAAGAGATTCCCTTGGATTCTCAGACCATTTGGAAGTCTATCAACAACAATATGTAGAAAAGCAGTGATAGAGATGGAAGAGCGCTGGTGTAATCATCGAGCGTTGGTGTAATCATCACACATCCTTACTTGACTCCAGTTCTAATGATGAAGGGGTCTATTTCTAAGCTGTTGCTTAGTATAGTTGTTGTTATACTGTTGTGAAGAAGTTGGATAATGGTAACAAATTTTGGCAGGCATCTAAATCTCATCAGGATCTTTCATAGGGTCTCTCCATTGATTAGACCTATGGGAGACTTAGTTCAATGAAGGACATGTAACGATCTCGGCATTGTTCATGGCACCTCTCATGTCCTGTCTAGCAAAAAAGATCATATCTGTTATATATCTGAGTGGTCTGAAGCCACAGTGGAACTTGGATAAAATCTTCTCAGAGAGGAAGGTGAGACTATTGAGGAGAATGTTGGTGAGGATCTTCCCAGCTATAGGCAGGAGTTGTGATATCATAATTGCTGCAAGTTGATCTATCTTGTTTACTGAATATAGTAAAAATTCTAGCATCTCTCAAGTTACTGGAAATTTGTTCACGTTCCCAGATTTTTGTAATAATGAAATTTAGCTGGTGAGAGAGCTTTTTTCCCACCTTACTTATATATTTCAGCTGGTATTCCATCAGGACCTCATGCTTTGTTGTTTTTCCTAGTTTCATAGTAGCTATGGACAGGAGGGACCTGAACAGATCATCTAGCCTGACCCCCTGCCACAGGCAGGAATGAATGCTGGGTTCACAAGACCCCAGACAGGTGATCGTCCAACCTCCTCTTGAAATTGCCCAAGGTAGGGGTGAGGACCACTTCCCTGGGAAGCTGGTTCCAGATTTTGGCCACCCTAACTGTAAAATATTGCCTTCTGATTTCTAACCTAAACCTATTCTCCATCAGCTTATTACCATTGTTCCTTGTCACCCCAGGTGGTGCTGGGGACAAAAGGGCACTACCTATTTGCTGTTGATCTCCCCTGATGAGTTTTTCGGCAGCCACCAGGTCCCTCCTCAGCCTCCTGTTGCTGAGGATGAGTAGGTTCAGGTCCCTTAGTCTCTCCTTGTACGGCCTGTCCTGCTGCCCTATCACCAGGCGGGGGGGCCCCC